AATGCCATTCGTGCTGCAATTTCAACCATATGACGACCAACAAATGTTATTTTTGGGCAAAATCTCCAAAGAAGACCGTGCAAACTCTCATTTGGATTTTGTGTTCTGCTTCTGATGCACCTTTTTAGCAAACGTTCATCAGTCAGTCGCTGAAATATTGGAACAAGCTTTTTGCCAACATCTTCTGGGATTGTTTCATGCTCTTTATGTGACCCAGAATTTTCATTTTTAGATACTGCTCGTTGCCAGAAACACCAAGAATTCTCTCCTGGTGGGCAGTGGACATGCTTAGGGTTTTTATCAGTGGATGTTAAATGAAATAAGATTGCAAAAATGCGCTTTTTCATCATTGCAACATCATCTGCATTGTCTTTAATTGCCCGTCCATAATAGTTTTGAATTTTGAGCATCTTTGCTCTGGTCAACTTCCCCTTTCCTGATATGGAGTCCTTTTGGGCTCTGCATTCTTGCTGGAGGTTGACTAAGGCAGTTCCCATTCTTTTTGATACATGGTTAATACATTCCTCTTTAACAATAGTAATACTATTGCCATATGGTTTAGCCTCAACAACCGAGTCAAATGCTTTACTGTCACCATCAGAAAGCATTGTTGTATACCTCAACTGGTATTTAGCTACAGAACGATTCCATAGCCTCTTTGCACATTCCTGTTCCATTGAATTGGCTGTTCCGTCATAATTCTTGGAGCATTTTAAGGAATGGTTTTCTTGCCACTCTGCATAATTGGGGTCATCTGCACTTGGAGCTTTCAAACACTGATGGCAAAAGTTGCACAACACTTCATAATCAATAGGCAAGCCAGTTAAAACATCAATAACAGCCCCTACACCATTGTGAGAGCTATGACCTCCTCCTCCTCTTCTTTGCCATGAACCATCGTATGAAACAGCAATGTCCACAATTCCATTACAATCTGGCAATGTACCAATCTGTTTGTACCTATCTTTAATTACTTCAACAGATTTTCTGGCAACTTCCTCAAATGCTTTTCCACTTCCAATGAACAACTTGTCTTTGGCAGTGGCATATGAGTCTTTACTGGGACTATTTGGAAGATTCATCATGCTGGCCCAGTCCTTTATTGCATTGTAGCCGCACCCAATACCCCTGAATGCAAACACTGATCGAACATTAACTTCAAATGGTTTCTGTGTCGATTCTGATCGGTCCACTCTTTCGCTTAAGTACTCCTGGCTAATTTTTGACTGACAGAGACTACAGTAAGTGAAGGCCTTGCTACAAAATCCCATATCGTTTCCCTTCAAAGTGTCAAAGATTACGCCAGTCTGGTTACAGTTTGGGCAGCAAAGTTCAACAAATAACTTTTTCAAACATTGCTTACTAACAATCAGAAAGCAATTGTCCATTTGAACCTGACTCTCCATCCCAACTATTTCATCCTGCATACTTTCAAGTGTAAGGCCAAATGCTTCAAGCTTTTTTGCGCTCGTTGTTGCCGTGGAAAATGAGGGTGTGATAGGCCTAAATTCGTTCGTTGAAGTTGCCTCTTCGATGGCCTCTCGAATAACGATCTTTTTTGTCTGTCTCCTTTTTCGAATGCCTTTGAAGCGCTGGAACTTTATCTTGCCCATGACAAGGAATAAAAGGTATAATATCGAAGAAATAGTTGGAACACACTTGTTTGAAACCACAGACTTTAGTCGACTGAAACGACAGTTGAAATCAGCTGATCCAACGAACCAATCAATGACCACTATCTTTGGCCTTGGCCAATCAGATGCAATGTTCTCAGTCTCGTTTTGAAGTTGATTGTCTAAGTAGACTTCGACAAAGGCAAATTACAGGTTGATTGTTAGTTTGAATACTAATATAATGGGAAAATCAAACAAAGCAAAGAATGAGCTTTTGAATGATATCCGGGTATCGGGGAAAGTAGGCCTAAATCTTTTGATAGGAAGTCACGAAACTGAAAGATTTTGAACGTAATTTGACGTCAAAACCACCAAACCAACTGATTAAAAAGTTTAAATAGGCAGTCTTAAAGTAAAAAATAAGGTACTTTGTTGCTATTTTTCTATTCTCTGATAGTAAAACGTTATAATAAAGGGAAAAACCGATTTTGCATTTTTTCAAAAAAAATTCAGATTTTCGACCTATCCTCCACCTTAAATCTATCAAAATGTACCAAAAGTTTTTGACAAATAGGAAATTGTAAGCAGCTACCATCAATGCTTCAACAGATATTTTGCAATTTTTTGGCACCAAATGAACGACGATAAGGTAACTTCCACGAACTCTGCCCAAATAAGGAAATTGCCATAAAAGGCTCTCAACACGATCAAAATCTACCAAAATTTTTTCACAAATAGGAAATTGAAAACGGCTACCATCAATGCTTCAACAGACATTGTGCAATCTTTTGGCACCGAATGAACGACAATAACGTAACTTCCACGAATTCTGCCCATATAAGGAAATTGCCAGAAAAGGCTCTCATAACGATACAAATCTACCAAAAATTTTTCACAAATAGGAAACTGTAGGCAGCTACCATCAGTGCTTCAACAGACATTTTGCAATCTTTTGGCAAGGAATAAACGACAAAAAAGGAACTTCCACGAATTCTGCCCATATAAGGAAATTGCCTTAAAAGGCTCTCAAAACTATCAAAATGTACCAAAAATTTTTCACAGATAGGAAATTGAAAGCGCCTACCACCATTGCTTCAACAGATCTCTTGCAATCTTTTGGCACAGAATGAACGACAAAAGCGTAACTTCCACGAATTCTGCCCATATAAGGAAATTGCCATAAAAGGCTCTCAAAACTATCAAAATGTACCAAAAAATTTTTCACAAATAGGAAATTGTAAGCAGCTACCATCAATTCTTCAACAGACATTTTGCAATCTTTTGGCACCGAATGAACGACAAAAACGTAACTTCCATGTATTTTGCCCATATAAGGAAATTGCCATAAACGGCTCTTAAATCTATCAAAATGTACCAAAAGTTTTTCACAAATAGGAAATTGTAAGCAGCTACCATCAATGCTTCAACAGACATTTTGCAATCTTTTGGCACCGAATGAACAACAATAACGTAACTTCCACGAATTCTGCCCAAATAAGGAAATTGCCATAAAGGCTCTCAAAACGATCAAAATCTACCAAAAATTTTTCACAAATAGGAAACTGAAAGCAGCTACCATCATGGCCTCAAAAGATTCCTTGCAATCTTTTAGCACCAAATGAACTGCAAAAACGTAATTTCCACGAATTCTGCCCAAATAAGGAAATTGCCATAAAAGGCTCTTAAATCTATCAAAATGTACCAAAAGTTTTTCACAAAAAGGAAATTGTAAGAAGCTACCATCAATGCTTCAACAGAGATTTTGCAATCTTTTGGCACCGAATGAACGACAAAAACGTAACTTCCACGAATTCTGCCCATATAAGGAAATTGCCAAAAAAGGCTCTTAAATCTATCAAAATGTACCAAAAGTTTTTGACAAATAGGAAATTGTAAGCAGCTACCATCAATGCTTCAACAGATATTTTGCAATTTTTTGGCACCAAATGAACGACGATAACGTAACTTCCACGAACTCTGCCCAAATAAGGAAATTGCCATAAAAGGCTCTCAACACGATCAAAATCTACCAAAAATTTTTCACAAATAGGAAATTGAAAACGGCTACCATCATTGCTTCAACAGATCTCTTGCAATCTTTTGGCACCGAATGAACGGCAAAAACGTAACTTCCATGTATTCTGCCCATATAAGGAAATTGCCATAAAAGGCTCTCAAAACTATCAAAATGTACCAAAAAATTTTCACAAATAGGAAATTGTAAGCAGCTACCATCAATGCTTCAACAGACATTTTGCAATCTTTTGGCACCGAATGAACGACAAAAACGTAACTTCCATGTATTCTGCCCATATAAGGAAATTGCCATAAAAGGCTCTCAAAACTATCAAAATGTACCAAAAATTTTTCACAGATAGGAAATTTAAAGCGGCTACCATCATTGCTTCAACAGATCACTTGCAATCTTTTGGCACACAATGAACGACAAAAACGTAACTTCCACGAATTCTGCCCATATAAGGAAATTGCCATAAAAGGCTCTCAAAACTATCAAAATGTACCAAAAAATTTTCACAAATAGGAAATTGTAAGCAGCTACCATCAATGCTTCAACAGACATTTTGCAATCTTTTGGCACCGAATGAACGACAAAAACGTAACTTCCATGTATTCTGCCCGTATAGGGAAATTGCCATAAAAGGCTCTTAAATCTATCAAATTGTACCAAAAGTTTTTTACAAATAGGAAATTGTAAGCAGCTACCATCATGGCCTCAAAAGATTCCCTTGCAATCTTTTGGCACCAAATGAAAGGCCAAAACAAAATTTCCACGAATTCTGCCCAAATAAGGAAATTGCCCTAAAAGGCTCTCAAAACGATCAAAATCTACCAAAAATTTTTCACAAATAGGAAACTGTAAGCAGCTACCATCATTGCTTCAACAGATCTCTTGCAATCTTTTGGCACCGAATGAACGACAAAAACATAACTTCCACGAATTCTGCCCATATAAGGAAATTGCCATAAAAGGCTCTCAAAACTATCAAAATGTACCAAACATTTTTCAGAAAAAGGAAATTGAAAGCGGCTACCATCATGGCTTCAACAGATCTCTTGCAATCTTTTGGCACAGAAAGAACGACAAAAACGTAACTTCCAAGAATTCTGCCCATATAAGGAAATTGCCATAAACGGCTCTTAAATCTATCAAAATGTACCAAAAGTTTTTCACAAATAGGAAATTGTAAGCAGCTACCATCAATGCTTCAACAGACATTTTGCAATCTTTTGGCACCGAATGAACGACAATAACGTAACTTCCACGAATTCTGCCCATATAAGGAAATTGCCAGAAAAGGCTCTCATAACGATCAAAATCTACCAAAAATTTTTCACAAATAGGAAACTGTAGGCAGCTACCATCAGTGCTTCAACAGACATTTTGCAATCTTTTGGCAAGGAATAAACGACAAAAAAGGAACTTCCACGAATTCTGCCCATATAAGGAAATTGCCATAAATAGCTCTTAAATCTATCACAATATACCAAAAAATTTTCAGAAACAGGAAATTAAAAGCGGCTACCATCATGAACTCAAAAGATTCCTTGCAATCTTTTGGCACTAAATGAACGACAAAAACGTAATTTCCACGAATTCTGCCCGAATAAGGAAATTGCCATAAAAGGCTCTTAAATCTATCAAAATGTACCAAAAGTTTTTCACAAAAAGGAAACTGTAAGCAGCTACGGTCAGTGCTTCAACAGACATTTTGCAATCTTTTGGCACCGAATGAACAACAATAACGTAACTTCCACGAATTCTGCCCAAATAAGGAAATTGCTATAAAAGGCTCTCAAAACGATCAAAATCTACCAAAAATTTTTAAGAAATAGGAAATTGAAAGCGGTTACCATCATGGCTTCGACAGATCTCTTGCAATCTTTTGGCACAGAATGAACGACAAAAACGTAACTTTCAAGAATTCTGCCCATATAAGGAAATTGCCATAAACGGCTCTTAAATCTATCAAAATGTACCAAAAGTTTTTCACAAATAGGAAATTGTAAGCAGCTACCATCATGGCCTCAAATGATTCCTTGCAATCTTTTGGCACCAAATGAACGGCAAAAACGTAATTTCCACGAATTCTGCCCAAATAAGGAAATTGCCATAAAAGGCTCTTAAATCTATCAAAATGTACCA